GATTCTTTATTTGACAAACATTAGTAAATAAATTGTAAATTACAATATAACTATCCGTTCCTGGTTTTGCGTGACAATGTCGCGCAGCTACCTTATTTAACAATTATGGCCCGCATTAGCAAAAAACTACCAAAAAAAGTTTCGGACATCACGTGACAAATATATTGAGCACCAAAAATCATGCACGTAACTTTGGGGCTGCCGATATACTAATTAATCAAATCTATATAAGGTGTTGTAATAAAAACTTGTAGTGCAGATTTATGCATAGATCGGCAAAATCGTTAAATTTACTAGCGAAGACTAGTGTTCAAAAATTGATTCATCTCACGTACCAATTGTTTTTTTCTAGCAATTTATATATCAAACGATTAATTTAATCTGATTAAACAAAGTTACAGTTTAAAATTTTTAATCAAATTAGTAAGAAACTAAGAAAATGAATTTGCATTGTAAAAAAAATTTAAAAAAAATTTTAATCTGTAACTTTGTTTAATTATGTTAGACTAATCGTTTGATGTATAAATAGTTAGAAAAGAACAGTTGGTACGTGAGATGAATCAATTTTTTGAACACTAGTCTTCGCTAGTAATTTAACGATTTTACCGATCTATGCATAAATCTGCATTATTAGTTTTTTATTACAATACCTTATATAGATTTGATTAATTAGTATATCGGCAGTCCCAACGTAACTTGAACAAAAAATAAAATCGAAAAAAATTTATAGACTAACAAAATAATAACGACAAGCAACTTGTTTATTTCGAATAAACTCAAATAAACGTAATATTTGTTACAGCCAGAAAGCACAGTCAACTCTTTCTATAACGAACTGAAGATTTTGGAAGAAAAAAAGCTCGCTATATAAAATTATGTTTTCTTAAGACCCATGCCACTTTTTATACCGAACTATTATCATTATATCCAGAGTTCGTTATAGGAAGGTTCATTATGCCCAGAGTCGACTGTATTATGATTACGGTTTTTTAAGTATTTGGAATATTCCATCACCTTTTAAAATGATTATAATCCTCCAATTCATGCAATGGCCCAAAATTTTTATTAATACTATCGAGCCATTTGTTACCATTTGAATTCATTATGTTTTCTTCAACAATTTTTTTGTTGCGTTCTGGATTCAGAATTATAAAACTTTTTGCTCCAATAAATAATCAGTTATAGTATTCCGGAAGAGCATTAAAAATAAAATATACAAGGTTTTCTGGTGCAATTGCATTTCTTGATTAGTTTTTATAATTTTATTTCGATTTCATTTTTTTTTTTCGTTTATTATTAGTGGAAATTTAGTTACAGCAATCGATGTATATTTTTAGAATATTATGTTTATTGAATTTTATACCTTCAAAAGAATCACTTGGTTTGTCGAGGTTGAACGATCGCTTTTCGCTTCAAATTGTAACTTGAGCAAACCTTTTATGTTTTTTTTCAGTATCTCAATGGTGAATGTTTCCTCTCAGTCATTTAGCCTCATTTTGAAGAATCGAAGAAAAAATCACCTACTAAATCAATTAACATTTTATAAATATATCAATTAACATTTTATAAATATTATTATCATGATCCTAATGACGAATTGACAATATCACATGATTTTCGAAACTTTTTTGGGTGGCGATTTTACCCTGGTCAATGCAGGCCTGTGAGGCTGCGCAGTAAATTCAAAAAATCTTCGACTTGCCCATCCCTAGATATTACCCGGCCCTATAAGAAAAGTGGTTCGGGGTGTGGCATGTGAAATTAGTGTAAATGCACGGAATGGCACTGATAGTGTGATACGTATATGCACGTTTCACGAGATGGCACGATTGAAAATGACACGGATATAGCGGCATGGGAGTGGTTTGTTATGGCCGTTACATGGAATGGCACGGGAAGTGTGGCACGCACTAACACGTTTCACGGGATAGACCGATTAAAAATGACACAGAGATTACAGCAACTGTGGTCTATTATGTTCTATCGTACGGAATGGCACGTGTGGTATGCCATGCACATGCATGTTTCACGGAATGGTATGGTCAAAATGACACGGTTATTACTGTAGAGTTGCCCGGTATATCGTGTTATATGTATTATATGTATGTTGTAAATACATACATATTATGCATATGCATGTTCACATAAATGCACATGCCTGCTAATACTGCAAATACGTGGTGCTTTATCTTATCTAAAAATCTTATTTTACATAGTTTAAGGTACAAAAATTTTAATTATTTCAAGATTACTGTAATTGAGATAAAAGATTGTTAGGATAATAATTGTTAAAATAATAAATTGCTGGAATGATGAATTATTGAATTATAAATTTATTTAATGCATAATACATCATTGAAATTAATTTATATAATCAAAGATAAGATTTAATTTGTCTTATCAATAATATATGAATGCTTTCCTATCTTTAAAAAACCTACATATCTTCGTATCATTGATACATCTACAAACTCATAATTACCAAATTCTTCAAAATTATATAAACTATACGATCCTTTTTGTGCATTTTTTATATTGAATCCGGACAGGTTATGCTGATTATCGATGATTATTATAGTCAATAAAATCAAAA